GAACCTAGGGTGTAAAACCATTTAGTTGTTTATACCTAAAGAAAATAAGGATGCAAGTAAGTTGTTTTTCATTCTGGCATGGGTGATAATATTGATAGACTAGTCTGACGCTAACAGCAGTTGTTACAGCAGAAACCTCCGTTGCCTGAGCAGCATCCAGAAGTCCTTGTATGTTTTCTAGTGATGTTTAACAAGTGTCAACTTATGTGCCAGAAGCAGATGGTTCTTGATTCAGGCTTGAGTGTCTCCTAAGGCCATAGTTGGCAGTTATGGCAAATTACATTATACGTAAGCAATGCCAGTTGATGCGTTCCATAAAGAAAACCTATGAGTAACACTATGGCACTTTACTTTTTCTCTTCAACTGTTTAAGAATTTCCTTAGATTAATGACACCTGTGTTCCATAAAGCAGATGAAGTTTTGTGTGTTAGCCTGAAAATTACCTGTGTGTCCAGGTTGTTACTAAAGCCTCGTGGAAGTCGGGGAATTTACACAGTTGTGTACTGCTTAGAGGGGCAGTGTCACATGCTGGCCCCAGTGAAGCGGACATCAACGTGATTCTTCTGTTGATTTAGGCAGACTGAAAAAGTGCCAGTGATTACACTTAGTCCTTAGCCAAAAATGAATTATGTGTTCAGGGACTAATTGTTAAGGCGTAACTCAAGGATTTTGCTATTTCAAGCCTTAATGTTGAGTCCATGAAAAATTCTGTCATGGTATGATTTGGCAGAAATACAAAAATTTCTTTCATTTTACTGGTAATGTGCTTAAGGATAACATGGTGGTTTGGCATCTGCTTGGCATCTTTTATTGTGTACAAACCTTTCCTACTGTATCAAGTAGCTGTCTTGCATCTCTTGCCTTACGAGTAAAGATTCAGGCTCCAGGAGTCGCTTGCACGTCTTTCATGTGCCTGAATTCTGGCACATGCCCTTAAATGTTCTCTGTTAACTTGTGTGTATGAGCTCATGATGCATACGATGAGCAGTGTAGAAGAAAACTTTTAGCATCTTCCATGTTGACAACTCTATGTCAGAATTACTTTCATGGCAGTTCACGTACATGGCTCAGCATGATTAGCCAGGCAGCAATCAGGTTGCAGAACTGCATTTGGTGACAACCACTTGCTGTAGGATTTCTGCAAGCTACACCTGAACATGTCCACATCGACCCACTGCTTATGAGCCCTGGCTGGTGAAGATGCCTGGCTAGGGACTGACTGGAGGCTGCTGGAACAATGCAAGGAGTCCTTGGGAAACACACTCTGAGAAGAGCCTCAGTTTTGGTTCCAGGTGAGGCTGCCAGAAAAGGCAGAGAGGCCCAGACCATGGTTCTCTGGCACTGGCAGCAGGGGGTTCCTCCTTCAATCTTCTCAGCTAAGGCTCAAGCCTGAGGGTGTAGGTAAGGTTGGTTGTAGGAAAAGCTCTGTTAGGGCCCTTCTCTTTTCTCAGGGCATTCAGTTGTGCTGCCAAACAGCACAGCCCATTGGATCCTGCCTAACTGATGCATCACTGTCTCCTTTTTATTGTCTCTTCAGGTTATTTCCAGGATTTGTTGAACAAGTCAGAAAAGGCCCTTTATGATGCTTTTCCAAGCCTGTACGGAGATTTGTACACTCAAAACATGAAGGTCTTCAAGGACTTGTACAGTGAACTACGCCGCTATTACCGGGGCTCCAACATTAACTTGGAAGAGGCCCTCAATGAGTTCTGGACACGCTTGCTGGAGCGTCTCTTCAAGTTGATGAATCCCCAGTACCATATCACAGATGAGTATCTGGACTGCATGGTGAAACATGCAGAGCAGCACAAACCCTTCGGGGAAGTTCCCAGGGACCTGAAGGTGAAGGCAACCCGAGCCTTCATTGCAGCACGCTCCTACGCGCAGGGCTTTCTTGTGGGCAGCGACGTGGTCAAAAAGGTGTCTCAGGTATGTTGGGGTTCTTCCTTCTTCACCATCCTCAGATTGGCAGGAGCCAGTCAACTACTGCTGTTAGGGAGAGGGGGGGTTATTTCCCCTCATGTTTTCATTACAAAGCAAGCAGGTTATTTTTCAGTTTTAAAGAACAAACTGCTTGATGGGTTTCACTTTCTCACTTACCCATCAGTGGAAGGGAGCAGCAAGCCTGAACTTCTACAGCCACTGATAGCACAGAAGGAGCGAGATGTATAACTCACCGCAAATCAGTCTTTACCTCATTTTAACCTATGCCAAGGAGATGTCAGTTGCCTAGGCTGTTGCTTGCCTAGATCCCTCGCGCTTCCCCCCCCAGGTAAATGGCATGCCTCTAGATCACACTGCCTTCTTTTCTTCCTTGATGGCAATATGATGTAGGGTGTGCAGAGCTGACTTGTCCTGAGTGTGCTGGGAATACACACAGAGGGATGCATTTCAGCGGTTGGTGATGGGATTGCTGTGTCTGTTTATGTAGCCGTGTATATTTGCACAGCTTCTGTGTACAGAGAGGGTGAGTTTGTAAAGTGCATTGGGATCTTCAGGGATGAAAGGTGCTATATAAATGTAAATTAACATGACTGAATGCAGGGTTTGAGGAGGAAGGAAATTGTCTGTATTCTTTACTGCAGAAGCAGCCTTTCAGAGCCAGAAGAAGGTGATTGTCCTGAAACAAGATATTCAGGCCTTTCACACAGGTAACAAGGAGAAAATCCATACTAAAAAATTACTTGCATACTGCATGTGGAGATGGCAATCAGCAGGTACGAGAATCAGGGTGTGATTAAACTGTGAATGTAAAAATATGGAATTGCAATTAATTTCCTCAGAAGGTAATGTGTGGTAATGTGTAGCAAAGGATGGTACTATTTGATGCAGCAAACCCAGACTTTGATCTCAGGAAGAAACATTAATGTGGTAACAGTGACAAATGCTTTAATTTATCAATGTGGGACTATAAAACTGTTCAGCTACCCAAAAGCCTTTGTACATCTCATTAACATCACACTCTCCTGACACTTAAGACAGATAAAAGAGGAGAATGGTGTAATTTCAAGGGGACCAAAGTAAAATATTTTTCATAAATCCTCTGAATGACAGAGATTTCCAGCTCAATGTGCGTGATTCTGCCTGTAGCTGAGTTCGGGGGTTAAAGCAGGCTGGCAGAGCAACTGCAGTCATGGTATCAGCAGAAGGGAAGGACCTGAGATACTGACATGCAGCACATTTCCCCTGACCTTCATGTAGGCTTCTGACCCATTGCATTTTGATTCTGCTCACCCCTTTCTGAATTATTCTTCTCTTGGCATCACTTATCAAATGGGATGTGGGGTACATGACCAGTCACAGATCCTCCTCTTCCCTCTGCCTCCCCCATCCTGTTCCTCCAGGGTAGACGGTCTTCCAGGAGGGTCCCAGCCATGCCTCTGTCTCATATGAGCCCTCCCTGGCATTGCAGGTAACCCGGCATGTTGCTGTTGTAGCACAATCTGCATGAACTGAGTCAGGAAACCTCAGCAAAGGCTCCCTGAGAGCTGATTTTGCAACAGAGGCCAAAACTGGCCCATTTCCCCTGTCTTCAGGAATGGGTTTAGTACTTGAGGCAAGAGGAGGTGGGAATTCAGAGGTCGGAAATTCATTTTATGGATGCCCTGGTAGCCCTCAGCTGTGTCTAAAACAAAAGGCCTGGTTTACCCACTTGACCAGATGTGCAATTACGCTTGTGCTAAGTGGATGTGAAGTGCAGAATGCGATCCACAACTCGTGCTTTGGTTTTAGTCATTTTTCATGTTGCTTTATACTAACAACATTAGGAGAAAGTGTATAAGGCTTTTATTAAGATCAGAGACTGGGATTTGACTTTCCTGTCAGCTGGTAGCAGCGGCCTTTAAAAATAACTTTTTGAGCTGAAATTTCTTAGGGAGCAGCGGTGAGCGTTTTAGTCAGGAAGCCTGGGGAAAGCCCATGGAAACGGACATGTAGAAATACATTAACTAGCTTTGGCCTTCTGGAAAATTAGATTATTCTGGGTTTATTTATTTGCAAACCCCAGAAAAGCTACTGATTTCTATTAAAACCCTCCTGATTTCATCTACTTACACACTACTAGTTCAGTGTTTGTCACCTATATCCTATCACTGTTTTGGGTCCTTGTGCAGAGTCTGCATGACTGGGCATCCTAGAGAAAGACTGGTGCTGTTTGCCAGATTTTCTGGCTGTCTTAAAATGGGGAAGAGCCCACCCCGACTGAGCAACAGGTGGGGATTTTGTGAGATTTCTTTAATCCCTGCTGACTCTCTGCTGTGCACAAGGGGCATTTCTTCCCCAGCCTCTGGCTGCCTGATGTTGTAGGAAGCCATCACTTTGGGCAGCCCTTGGCTTGGTGGCTGGTGGGTGTGCAGGGATAGGAATGGGAGCAGTGTGCCGGGAGCAGGCGCTTTGCATCCTGCTGGGGATAAATAGTTTGAGGGCAGCCGGGGAGAAAATGGCAAAACCATTTTTCATCTTTACTGCTGTCCTAGCTTTTAAGACAAAGTCACCTTGACAGACTGCAGGCCTGACATCAAGATCTAAAGCTTTTAATGCCGTGGTTCCTGCCACCAACCTGGCCCCACGCTGACAGCGACGGAAGCACTGCCATCTGCACAGCGGCTGTGGGAGGGGGCCTGGGGCACGCATGTGGCTGGTGTGGCTCTTCGCAGCCCGGGCTGCAGGCAGGGCTAGGGATGGACGTGGAGGTTGGCACCTTGCCCTGGTAACAGGGTTAGGGGTTACTGATGTGCCACATGTGGGTGGGAGTGTTGGGGCAGCATCTCTTTGTTCACATTCACGTTAGGTGTTTCTGTAGCTCTTTTTTCAGCACAAATTGAAGTTTTCATTGAAGTTGCACTACGCCAACTGAATTTTTCATCATCTGCATGAAGTAGCAGCTACCAAAACAGCAGCAGCCACCAAATCCTTAGTGAAGGGCATGCAGAAGAAGGGGCTCCCCCAGGGATGCACATCTTGTGCTGTGTGCCAGAGCAAGAGAAAAGAAATATTCCAGTTTTGTTTAGGATCCTTTTCTTTGGTTATGAGTTTGGCAGTTGCCCCAAAACAGCATTCGCTGCAACGCTGAGCTTCATGTGAACAGGTGAAGGCCTTGTGCTGGGAGACTCACTGCCTGCCAGCTGCTGCTCAGAGATCCACCCTTGGTGTGAGTATTTGCTGTGTTCAGCAATGAGAGTGAGAATATGCTCCTGTGGTGTAGGTGAATTGAAATACTGTGGGGGCGGGAAGCAAAACTGAGATGGTAAAAATGGCAAGGGCTGAGACATAACACCTTATAAAACCAAAGCAGAAATCCTCAGAGAGATGCAGAGTGATAAACAGGAATATCCTGGCTGGTTTTGTTATTTACTACTCACATTACGATACTGCTCAGGCATCTAAGTCTTAGGTCAGGACTATTGCACAGAGTGCTGTAGGGGACAGGTAGCAGAGGTGATCCTGTCTGCACCGGGGCACCCAAAAAGGGCAGTGAGACTGTGCATGGGTCCTGCATCTCAACACCATGCCTGCACTGCACTAGCGGACGGGGAGGAGAGCTTCCCCATGCACATAAAAAAAACCAGAGTCCTCAAGTTCCCCTTGGAGACGTGACAACATGTGAGTCTCAGGTGAGAGAGCAGAAAAAGTAAAGAAATAATGCTCTGTTTCCAAAGGCAGGGAGAGGAAATGTTTTAAAATTAATTTTGCTCATCAGTCAGAAAGTGAGTTATTAGGACAATCTTTCCTTTGCTGGATCTTCGTTGCTTTTTGCTTCTGAATTTTAAGTTTCCCCATGGTAGTGGGGATTGATGTGAAGCAACATCAGCTACGTAAGCAAGAAACACATACTTAAATAATCAATTTTAATAGTTGTTTGCATTTCCTTTTCTCAGTAGATGTTCTTAAAGCTGATTCTCATTTGAGTTTGAAACAAAATGTGATGATTTTCTATACTAATTATAAGCTTTTTCACTAAATCCTGTATTTTATTTTACCGGTGAAGGTCGTCTATCAGTACATTTTTATTTAAGCAATACTGTGTCTTATGATACATTTCAGCCTTATTTTTTAAACTTTTATGTTAGTATAAGGTAAATGGCTGCTTTCCTATTTACCATGTGAATAATTTTTAAACACATGGTGGGTCAAGCTGCATTTGGATGGGAACTGAAATCCAATTAAAAAGGCCCAAAAATAGCATTTTTATAAATGTAATAGTTAAGTGAATGTGCTGGATCCATATGGAAAATAATGTTTATCTAAACATGCTTTACATTTCCAAGAAGTCAATAATGTAACAAAGATAGTATGGTCATTCCTGGTCCTCATGTCCTTTAAGATTGTAGCTATTTCTCATACCCTGGTTCTTCCCATACCTTGGAAGGACATAGTTGACTTCCATCTTTCAGCTTCCAGTTGCTTTTTGGGTGAAGTAGGCATAAAATTGATCTGACTGAATAAAATTAAATGAAGAATATAATATTTTTCACACGCTTTAGCACCACTATGCTAAAACAGCTCGAGTGCAGTAAACTCCTGTTCTGTGTGCTCGGTGACACATCTCCATCCTTTCAGCGGCTTATCTTTATTCAGAGCATCAGCAGCAAGTACATAAAAACATAAATAACATTTTATTTCATTTAAAGGATTTCACTTTTGTAATAAAATTAAACATTTATCTAAATGGGCCTCCTCTTGATCCTGAAAAGACAATATTAGTATTTGTAAATAGATGTTAGGAGAATGTTGTTCCATGGCACTGGCAAGTGGCAATATCCTTGTAGCACCATGCTCATTTCTTTTCACTGGATATTATCCCACCTCTCACTTTGGAGCTGTTCAGTTTTTGCACGGCAGAGGTGTGTGTGCTTGTGTTATGGTGATGAGTCGATGGCAGGGTGCCGTTGTGCGGAGACTAGGCGATTTGTATGTGTAATTGCATGGCT